GCAAAGCCCTTGGTGCTCTGGTCCCCCCCTGCAAAGGGAAGGGGTGAGGAGCAGCACCCACCACCAGCCCTCGGGCTTGGTTGGCAAAATGGACTTTAAAACACTCTGTGCCTTCTGCTAGGGGAGCGTAGACTCAATATATCAGAGTGGATCAGGTCAGCCTGACTCGGATTAGTGTGTTTTGCTGAAGTGACCCAAAAATGTTTGATTATTTCAATGAGATGAAATTGAATTTCGCCGTTGGTGCGTTGCATGAGGAGTCAGTGTTTATTCCCCACGCTATTCCCCTGCGGATGGGGGTTCCCAGGCATTCCCAGCACTCCCAGGTCAGCTCTGAAAGAGGCACCATCCCAGGCAGATCCTTAGGAATTCAATCTGGCCAGGGAGCCTGACCTGGTTTGGGGAGAGCAGATGGAGAAAATGTGGTGTTAAAGGAAAGCCCAGCATAGCAACAACCTCAGTTGCCTGTTTTCACATCACTGTGTCCCAGTGAATTGATAAGGAATTGCAGTGTGTCCCAAATAGGGGAGTTTTCCTCGCATACCTAAATTGAAACTTTGGTTCATAATTACTCTTTTTGAAGTATCAACTTTCTACTTAATGTTGGAAAGAAACCAATGGTTTAAGCTGCTCTCTGGGGCAGTTCAGACCTCGGTGCAGTCTGTACTGAGCGTCTCACTCCTGCTGCCCCCTAAAAGAACATCATTTCTTGCAGTCAGCAAAGTTAAAACGAGGAAGATAAAGCTTCATTTTGTAATTAAACCATGTCCCTTCCATGATGCTCCACAGTGCGGGAGTACATTCCCAGGACCAGTTTGGGCTAAATTTTCTGCTCTTTCGCATGCCCTGAAAACAGTCCCTTCATCTCAGATAAAGCCCTGCTGAGAGCGTGGGGCTGTAGCAATGTGCATTCTCCACGCAGGAGATGAAATGAGGAGGATTTATCTGCTGCTTCCCCCTCCCATCTGCACATGTTTTCCTTGCTGGACAGCAGGTAGGAGCATCATCTGTCTGTGTCTGTCTGTTTTAATGCCAGAGAGTCATAAAATGTCACACAGCCCCCGTGAAAAGCAGCCCCAGCTTCACTCCTGGGGTAGATCACGGTTGTCGGCCTCATCCCTCGGGCTTCCCGCTGAGCCGGCCACATGCGGGCGAGAAGACACTGCTGTGCTCGGTGAAACCGGAGCCCCACACAGCCTTCCCCAAATCGGATTCACACCGAATGTCCCTGATAAACAGCCAGGGACCTCGGCTCCTCCTGGCCGCGCGCAGGTTATTTTGCAGCGTGAGTTCAAGCGGCGGCTCCCCGTGCAAATCCGTGGGTGTAATAACGTGGCCGGCATCGCTCCTGCCCGGCATCTGGCGCTGAGAATTGGCACGGCCGAGGTTGCCGCAGAGCCGGAACGCGGTGTTGGGCTCCGCCGACGGAGCAGCGGGGTCGGGATAACGGAGCTCGGCTGATGGGGGACAG